CTCTCTGTAAGAAACACTCAAGCACAAGCCAAAATAAACCCCATATAGAATGAAGAGTTACATGTAACACACACAGATAGAGAGGAGAGACATACAGACAGATGTCTAGGAACGAGGGCTGCCCTCGGGGCGCGGATGGTGAAATGGCCACCCACACCAGGATCCTCATCTGCAGGACTCCACGGACAGGGGAGCCTGGGGACCTATAGTCCACTGGGCCACAAAGAGTCAGACTCGGCTGAGTGACTGACACTTTTCACTTCACATCTATGGGTAAATAAAATAAAAATATATTTGAATATAAAAGCAAGGAAAACAATCTGCAAAAAAGAGTGGAAGTAGATATCACTGTTCAAAACATCAAGGCAGAATGACTCCATGAAGCTAAGCTAAGCAGCTTAATCAAGTTCCTCCCCATCCCTGGAAAGTCAGCATTCCAGATGGAACCTTGCATTCTAGCTTGATCCACGCCTCATCCTCCCATGAGCTTCTGCTCTCTCCCAAGGCTCTCTTCTCCCTAAGTCCCTTCCCTCTCCTGAGGATGTGCACTTGACTAGTACTCTTATTCCCTAGTTTTCAGCCCATTATAGAAGCTTCTTTTTATAACTCAGGCTGTTGACAGTGCAAGAAAAGAGAGTGATGCAGAGAAGAGTTGGACACCAGGTACACGGGATGAGAAGGCTAACATTTAAATTCCTTAACAGTGGCTGGAGCACGCTGGGCCACACAGCTGTGGGGCAGGGTTTTAAGAGATGTTTGTTCTCCTCTCCATCTGACTACAAATATATGACATAGTTGATTTAAAAAAAAAAAAAAAAAACCAAAACTATAAACCTGAAAAGCAAGGTATGTCTATGTAAAAACAAGCTCCTCTATCAATATAGAATAATTTTTGAAAACTGGACCTTTTTTGTTGCTGTTTTATTTGCTTGTTTTTCTGGAAAGCTGAACTTTGAGAACAGATTTAGTAAACCTTGAAATCTTCATGTGATCCCCTGAGATCACATTCGGCACCTAGGTTCAGAAGAACTGGACGTGGCTCCTGATTCTGCCATTCACTGGTAGGTAATTTAATTTTAAGTATTTAATCTAACCCTTACTTTCCCAATTCAGTAACGCAGATAACAGCAATTTCTAGAATCACTAGGAAGAGTTTTTAAAAGTTACTAGTTCCTAAGCTCTCCACCTCAAATCTACAGAATCAGAATCTCAGAGATGAAGACATCTGTGGAAGTCTTTTCTGTAATTTCACCGGTATCACCCGGACACAGTGAGTTTGAGGACTTTAGCTGGAAAAGCTGAACCACCTCAGGGGGTTAGCAGACCCCCCAGGGCCCACGTGCTCTCTGAGTCTTGAGCACACAGCGCCTTCCTCCACCAGGAGCAGGGAGCCCAGGGCTGGGGCGCGGAGCCTGCAGACAGCGGCCTGGAGCGCAGGCCGGCAGAGGGCCCCATCATGCTGCGGGAGGAGGGGTCAGGCAGCAAGGGCGATGCGCCCCTTTAACGTTACGGAGGTCTGCAGACACTTTTCTCATGGGAATACTGTGAGGTGGTGGGCCAAGGCAGACCTCCAGTCTTGCCTGGAGGCCAATCTCTCTTGACATTATTTCAGTGGGAAAAATGCACTGCAGTCTCTAAACAAAGAGCACATTATAGCATGCTGGGAGATGTCAACAGACCAAAACAAGAACACAATCCAAGACGTCTAGCTCTGGCTTCTGGGCTGAGTTACTTTTGTCTTTCTTCTAGTATAACCACTGAATTACTCTGGATACCTTTTAAGTACTGTTTTCTTTGAATGAATATGTACATCAGCGTCCTTCAGTGATTACTTTCCCATTATCAGAGATTAGGGGATGGAAAGCAATTTGTTAAAGAATCCCTTCAGATTCCTGGCAAGTTTTTAAACTGTTAGAAATAAGTGCTAAGAGTCAAAGACTAATAGAGAAATTGGAACCAACTGATATCTAATGCAAAACAGCCCCAAATATTTAGTTCTGATCACGTGGTTAGGCATTAACTTATGCCTATGGCATTTCAGTCTTTATTCTTCCTGGTCAGACTGTTAAATCACTTTTTATTTCCTCTGCTAAAACGCCGGTCTGCACCTGTGTTGGCATGTACTCTAAGCATCATCAGGACAACAGTGTATGTCTACAAAGAGCTTCTGTTTCCAAAAGTTCTCACAGCATTATCTCACCCATTTCTCAGCCCAGATGTGAAGCACGTGTATCTGCCATCAGACCCATTTCATACTCAGCAGTGGGGTCTGCAGGCATGCAGCTGGGGTGCAGGTGGTCCGCCTGCCCAGACCCGAGAGGGGCAATGGGACGCCACGTGACCATAGCCAGTGGGAGCTGGCCTGCAGGGGCCTGAGCATCCACGGCTATGAACCAACTGGGGAAAGTTTAACTATTAGTTGCTCAGTCGTGTCTGACTCTTTGCAACCCCATGGACCGTAGCCTGCTAGGCTCCTCTGTCCATGGGACTTTCCAGGCCAGAATACTGGAAAGGGTAGCCATTCCCTTCTGCAGGGGAACCTCCCAACCCAAGGTTCAAACCCTGGTCTCCCACATTGTAGGCAGCTTCTGTCCTGTCTGAGCCACCAGGGGAGCCAAGCTTGGTAGGCAGTGGGGTTTATTTTGGCTGCACAGGTCTTGGCCGCGGCCTGGGGGATCTTGGCTGCAGCCTGAGTCTTGGGTGCAGTCTGGGGGATCTTGGCTGCTACGTTCCGGCTCTTAGGTGTGGCATGCAGGATCTAGTGCTCTGACCAGGGACTGAAGCCGGGCCCAGTCTGAACTGGGAGTGCAGAGTCTGAACCACTGGACCACACGGAAAGTCCTGGGTATGGAATTTTTAACCACAAAAGTGATCAGATTTGTATCACAGGGAAGACAGCCAACAGCAGGAAAAATGAAAGAAACAGGTAACCACGACAAAGAGGTGATCTGGAAAACAAGCGCAAACCTTGGAGGGAAAATCCCTACACTCATCGCCTCTACAGAGTCAGCTGGTGCTGCTTCCAGAAAACCATCACAGGAGAGAGTCCCTGAGAAGCGAGGCTAAGGCACAGTGGCCACTGTGGGCCCGAAGGCCCTCGGCACCTTCTGCTTGCTAGTGCCCTCCGCCATTCCCACCCAGAGCGGGCCGCCGGGGGCTCAGAGGCTGGCGCCTCCACGCTCTCCTGTCTTTCTCTCGAGCCCGTGAATCAGTGACGGGTCACGCAGGGAGGCTGCCCATCATTAGTGTGTTCTTCCCCTGAGTCAGAGTAGACCTGCAGAGCCCACAGCAAAATCCTAGAGAGAGCGCTCTCAGGACGCACTTGTTCAACAAGTGGTTATACCGTGCCTGCTGGGTGCAGATCCTGCTCTCAGTGGGGGACACGCAGCGAGGAGGCCGAGAAAAGTGCAGGCCTCCGGCTCCTCCATTCTGACCAGCATCTCCTGCCTTCAGTCCTTCCGTGTGCTCGTAACTCTTCCCGACGACTCTACCCCCAGAAATCCGCTAAGTCTCCTATTCCCTGACTTCCTTCAGATTTTCACTCCATTACCACCTTTTCTGCAATGCCTTCTCCAACCGCCCTATTCAAACCACCTCCTGAAGGTGCTCTTCCCTCCTTTTTCCCTTTCAAAACAATGCTTATTACATCTAACATGTGTTCTCTTATTTTTGATCTTCATTTTTCTCCTCTTACTAGAATCTAAGCTTCAAAAAGGCAGGGGCTCTTGTCTGTTTGGTTCCTGGCTGTACCCCTTAGCGCCTTTAGTGAAAATCGGCACATAGCAGGCACAGAATAAACCCTGAAGTTCACTCATGTGATCTTCTGTGTACCTGTGACACAGAGGTACATGCACAGGCCTCTAACATTCACTTGTATTCATCATTGCTCGTCATATGTATTCTCCTGCACATTTGATATACTTCAGTTCTTTATTCTTAAGTTAAACAATTTTTCCCTCTTATGCTGTCTTTGAACATGAACACTCTCTTTTTTTCACACTCAGGTTATATATTATATTTCCCACAGAATCCATAAACACTTACTATTTCCAGCTAAGTGTATGTCAATCCACAATATCAAAACAGCTCTACAAAACATAAAAATGTCAAACCTCTCATCTTTTCTTTTTTCAAATGCTATCTGACTTTAAAATTAGGCATACAGGTAAACTCAAGCAATCTGAGTTAACATTCCGTACCTAACAAAATCTTCCCTTGTTACTTCCTCTCACATATCTTTATATCTCCGACATATCACATATCACATATCTCCGACATAGTTGGTTTCTCAATGCAAAGTTTTAGGAGTATTTTAAGAGACTCCCCTGGTGGCTCAGACAGTAAAGCGTCTGCCTACAATGCGGGAGACCTGGGTTCAATCCCTGGGTCAGGAAGATCTCCTGGAAAAGGAAATGGCAACCCACTCCAGTATTCTTGCCTGGAAAATCCCATGGACGGAGGAGTCTGGTAGACTACACAGTCCATGGGGTCGCAAAGAGTCGGACATGACTGAGCAACTTCACTCACTCACTAGGACTTTTTATATTTTTAGGAGAAAAGATATAAATGTACAAAGCCTCTGGTATAGAAATAATTAAACACTGTGCTTTCTGTTTCTCTAACTCCTGAGAAACACTGGCTAATAGGCAGAAACAAACAGCAAACACCAGTAGAGCTGATCTTCAGGCCTTGTTCTCCTTGTTCTCCCACCTACTAGTTATGTGACCGCAGGCCAGCTTCAGCTTCTTTATCTGTAAATAGAAGCTGATTCTTCCCAATCTGCTCACCACCAGGAGATTTATGAGAATAAAATAAGTCTAAGGACATTCTCTAAACTATACAGAAACAGTCAAACAAAAGGTATAATGATGTTGCCTAAAGGTGAAGTGCTCTAATCATTCCCTGAAGCAGAGTAAAATTCACAGTTTTCTTATTCCCATCCCCTTATACCAAGTATAATACAAAAAGTCAGTTTTTCACAGATAGACTTGGGGATATACCTTCGACTGTATTGTCCTCAGATTAACCAGATGAATGTCACAGGGCAAAGGTGACGTCAGAGGAGAGAATCCAGCCAGCAGCTGCAGGGAGGGCACGGGGACCTTCTCTGTCATTGGAAAGACAGGGTGGTTCAGGAAAGAAGAAGTCATGTGGCTGAGGAGGGAAGGGTGACTGGCCGCCTTCTGGTCTTCTCCCTGTCAAGGAAAAACAAAAACGCGCAGGGTTTGATATGTGCAACTCTCGCAGTGTTAACTGAATCAGCAGACATGGTTCAGACAGGAGAGAGATATAAAAATATTAATACTTTGCTTTCACTGTATTTTATAAATAAGTCTTAGGCAATGCACAGCAGAGTACCAAGTTCAGTTCTAAGCAATAGAAGAAAACAGTGTCCACTTAACATTAACTTCCCTGTTTAGAAATACATCTCCTCTCTACTGCTTTAAAACTAAAAGTCTTGAGAACATTTTCCACAAACATTCTAGGACAAGGAATTACTTTATATGAAGATTCTTTCTCAACCTACCATAAAACTCTTAAAGTGGACAGATTGGGATGCTCATATATCCTGCACGTCATCAAATGTTGTCTCTTTTCCGTCAGGTTGCATCTATCATATTCTCATGGTTTCATTTATACATTTGACTAGACTGTGAAGTTATGTACCAATCCAAAATTATGTTTTACAAATTTATATATATATTCTCTATATAAAATATATAAAGCTGTGTTCTACCCAATAATAGGATTTAAAAAAAAATAATAAATCAGGCTTTAAAATAACATAGGTAGCATATCTAGATCATCTGTTTTCTTTAAATTTGGTAAAATCATTGCCAGATGTTTCGCTTTACTTTATTCCAAACACTGGAACTACTGTATCTGTTACAGAATAGTTGTCACACATTTACATGGTATACAATTATTCAGTATAATTTTAAAATACTTTAGTCTTTGCTATGGTGTGTGGTTACAGATAAGCATTTCAGCACGTTCAAACAATAAGTAAATCTACCAGGACTGGGGAATATACATATGGTAGATGACATACACAATTAATTAAATCAGTGACTAAGTAGAATCTTAACCAATAATGTCTAAGGTGTAAAAGCAGGCCCAGAAAAGCACAGAGAAGAAAACGTAATTTATGTAAAAAGGCCTTGTGATCACCAACACCACTTCGAGATATTTCCATTCTGTATCGTATTTTTGGAAATGACTATTTCACCGATATCTTCTGATTTTGCATATTTTTTAACAGGTGGCCCAAATAAAAGGTCTGACAACTTATCTGTGTGCAAAGACAAGATTTACAGAAGACAGCTTAAAATTCAGAATGTCAGATTAGAACTGGACAGAGGGTGTTAGCAAAGAGCGCTGAGCATCCTGCCAGCAGCAAACTGGAGATGTCATCACAATGCAGACTATGAGTAGAGAAAAAAAATTAAGGCAACAGAGGGACACTACAATATTAAGATACTGACAAAAAACATTAGGTAAAAAATATTAAGTTAAAAAGTTTATCCATTCCACATTCTTTCTTAAGGAAAAATTAAATAAAGCATATAAAATAATATTCTTCAACAACATTGAAATCTAATGCAGCTTGTAGGGTAACATGAAGAGAGGGAACATTTTCAACAAGAAGCTTTAAATGGACTCAAAGATCAAAGGACTTCATAATCTAGGTCAGGACTGCTGACAAAATCACTTTTGAGTAATAAAAGATAAAAGCTTCTTACAGAAAGGAAAACACCTGTTTTATCAGATTCCAGAGGCATTAAATCCCTTCTAGGTCAAGATACGTTCAGAAAAAGCGCTCTGGCTTTGTTCTGTGCTCTTGGAGGAATCCTTGGACACTTCGGTGAGAAGGTAGGATACTAACTAATAGATTATCTATACCTTACGAGTAATAATGTGCATAGCCAGTACTCCACCAAGCCCAAATCAGTTCTCCAGACCTTCAGTGTTTCCCCCAGATTGATCAGACATCAGAATGGCTTGGGAAACTTTTATAAAACATAGATACTTGGACCTGAACCGAAACCTACCACATCAGAATTCTAAGGAGAGGGGCCTGCGAAGGTCAAGTTAAAAGCCCCCAAGTGAACGTCACAGTCAGCCCCACTCTGCTCTCCTGACCTGTATGATGCAGGGACTGCCACCTCAGCACCCGCCCAACCTTTCAGAGGAGACAGAGCTCACTTTGGAACTGAAAGTATAAGCCTTACCATTTAACTAGCTTAGGATGAAAAAAAAAGATGCAGACTCAGAAGCATGTTAAGGAAAAGTCCTGTCAAATAATACAATGTCATGAAGGTAAGTACTTTGGGCATTCGAGAACTGTGCTATTTCTGTTCTCCTCAGCAGGAAAGGAAGAGAAGTTTATGGAAGAGCTGTGGGTCAGTGCCGGAAGAGCCCCACGAGCACAAACGCTTCTGGACGCTGGCCAGGCTGGAGGAGACAGAGGCTCAGGCACAGCCCACGGCTCACGCAGCCTCTTAACAGCGCCACAGCAGTGAGGGCTCAGCGATATACTCACCTGTGACACTACCACTATTGTGACTAACCTGCCAGGAAGGTAATCTTATAAACATAACCTTGATGATAAACTCAAAATTTATAAAATATACCTGCTATAGGAAATTTTATGTTTGTGTAAGCTGTAAACCACTGCAAACACTATTTGGTTTCTTGTAGGTTGGGAGGTTTCAGACTAAATATGTCTGGCTTTTTCTCTCTGCAGCCTACCCGAGATTAAGGAGAATTTCTAGCACATTCTGATGCAACCCACATTAAGTTAAGATCTTCTCCACTGGGTTTAAGCCCTTATCTCATAAGTCAGAACTTCCTGCCAGGCTCCTTGGTACCCCTCATTAAGCCCACTTGAGTTACCTGCTGCCTAAACACCACATGATAGAAGTGGAAGAGGAGACCAAAAAAGCTGGCTTAAAGCTCAACATTCAGAAAACTAAGATCATGGCATCTGGTCCAATCACTTCATGGCAAATAGATGGGGAAACAGTGGGAGACTTTATTTTTCTGGGCTCCAAAATCAGATGGTGACTGCAGCCATGAAATTAAAAGACGCTTACTCCTTGGATGGAAAGTTATGACCAACCTAGACAGCATATTAAAAAGCAGAGACATTACTTTGCCAACAAAGGTCCATCTAGTCAAGGCTATGGTTTTTCCAGTGGTCATGTATGGATGTGAGAGTTGGACTATAAAGAAAGCTGAGTGCTGAAGAATTGATGCTTTTGAGCTGTGGTGTTGGAGAAGACCCTTGAGAGTTCCATGGACTGCGAGGAGATCCAACCAGTCCATCCTAAAGATCAGTCCTGAATATTCATTGGAAGCACTGATGCTGAAGCTGAAACTCCAATACTTTGGCCACCTGATATGAGAGCTGACTCATTTGAAAAGATCCTGAAGCTGGGAAAGATTGAAGGTAGGAGGAGAAGGGGACGACAGAGAATGAGATGGTTGGATGGCATCACCGACTGAAAGACATGAGTCTGAGCAAGCTCTGGGAGTTGGTGATGGACAGGGAGGCCTGGCGTGCTGCAGTCCATGGGGTCACAGAGACAGACATGACTGAGAGACTGAAATGACTGGCCCTATTAGACATGTTCTGGCAGTTCCACATGGTATTAAAACAGTGTTTGTTTTTCAGTCCTCTCAAGACAAAAAAAAAAATCCAAGAGATTTTATATTTAAAATCATCAAAATGACTACAGTAACAAAAACTTATCCAAACAGATAACTTATTTTTTACCCCAAGCACTGGGAAATGAAGTCACACTGGTCACCCCCAACTCTCGAGTGGAAACGACCATCTGGGGCTGCATTGAGGCTCCGATGTGGGCCAGGCATCCATCCTCATGTTCACCAGACCCTCTGGTCACCTAACATAAACATTTCCCATATACCTGACCAACCTCCTTCTGCTATCATTTCCCTGAGCCCAGTCAGCCTGTGTGATTTTCATCTGATAGCTCCAAAATCCTTCTCCTATATATAAAGAACTGGTATCCAGAAGCAAAATGACCCAACTATAACACATGAATATCTCTAGTGCAACGCTTCCTGATTCAATGTCCCCTTTACTATTATTCTAGTTGCCAGCAGGAAGGGGGTAGGAAGTAAGGGTCAAAGAAATAAATCCTAAAAGGTCAACACTAATGAGATAATTTCTATTTCATTCTTCTGCTGAGCCCTGAGCAACGTTACTGTGAAAGACCTCACACAGTCACAGTCCTCCGCTGGGCATCAACACCTCTCCCAGTGATATTTATCACTTCAATCTTGTTCTCACTGACTCTGCAAAGGACTCGAGAACAGGATGCTTCCATTCAGTCATCCAGTATTATCACCATGAAGCTCCAGCAGGTTCAAAGCTTCCCACTAAAAAGCCTTCCTTTCCAGGAAATGTCTCCCCATCTCAATTTCTACCATCGACATTTTAGTCATTAGTCTGGTTGCAAATAAAAACACTTTCTAGAAAATTTAAGTTATGTGATATGTAACATTTCTTAATCAAATGTCATTTTAATTAATTTCACTAGAAATTAAAATGTATCTTCTCTTCTCTGGTTCATTTTTTATTTAAAAGAAACTACTGACTTAAGCCCAAGAAACTATAGTTGAGCAAAAGAAGAATTTAACCAAGACAGGATTATAAAAACTTTGAATCAAACTGAAATCAATCATTATGCAAAGAGTTTTGAATGAGAATAAACATATTATTTAACTTCTAAGTGAAAGCTTTATAGATCTGACACAAAAAATTCTTATCGCTATAGTTAACAGAAGTTTTGTAAATTAGTATCTATGGAGAGAAAAACCATCAAAGCCAGAAACATTTCAGGAGAACCAAAAGATAGTAGCTGCCAGCACCCAGACAATGATTTTTATATGCTGTTTTAGTCCTAAAACTAAGCTATCTTGTCAGTAATTGATTTAAACCATGAGTCCCAAGAACTGGTATAAATCTTTACATCTAAAATGTATATTAAAACCTTTTTCCTGAAAGAGTCTAAATACGGAGAGAATTCTTTGCCTTAATTAGCTGCTGCCATTTCATTAAATCAACCAGTATTTTATTTGTAAAATGCCTACCGCAGGCACGGAGGCCCTGCGGGGACACAGGGAAAGGAAGCAGGGAGACCTGAGTCCCGCGGGGGGCAGGACACGCACAGGGGCACGGGCAGCGGGCAGGGCCTGCGGGGGCAGCGCGGCCGCGTGCTCTCCCGGCCCAGGCACCGCGGCACCTGTGCGTTCATTCACAGAGCCCACACCGGCGTCTGCTGTGCTAGGAACCATCCCAGAAGCGGACAGAGACCAACTCTTAACCCCAGCGAGCTTGCGGTCCACGGGAGGAGAAAGGCAATGAGCGCATAACCGCACACACCCACGAAGGAAACATGCACGATTCTGAGGGCGGTTCCAATCTGGTCCAGACGAAGAAGCTGCTGAAGTAGACTCAGACCTGAACGATTACTTACGAAGAGTCGCTGGGTAGAGAGATGGAAAGGGGGGCCGGGTGCGGGAGGAGCACTGAGGCCTGAAGGAAGCCCGCCGGCCCAGGGCAGCAACAGGGAGACCACGCGTCGAGACGGGGAAGGCGGGACAGGCAGGGCCCCGAGCATGGGGCTCCGCGGGCCGCGGTCAGGAGCTGGCGTTTACACGGGGAGCAATGCGGCGGCAGAGGCGGGAAGCAGGGCGCAGTGAGGACAGAGTCGGTTTCGAGAGACAACTGCTGCTCACTGGGTTCAGAGGAGATGGGGCGGAAAGAAGACAGCAGACTGGATGTGAGCGCCCCCCCCCCCCCCCCCAGACACATGATGCGAGTAAACATTCGAGTTGTGTTAGTCATCAGGCTTATAGATGCGAAATATTTCGGCAACGATACGCCGAGCACTGCAGCAGACCGCTGGGAGGAGAGAGCAGGTGGGGAGCACGTCCGCCAGGGCCGGCCCTCAGGGGTCTGCGCCGCGTGGAAAGCGGCGCCGGCTATCAAGAGGGGACACTGGGAAGGGGGCGATCAGAACCGTGGTTCTGGGTCTGTCAGGCTTGAGACGCCCTTAGAAATGCCAGGCAGCAACCAGATGGATGGGTCTCAAGGCGAGAGGTGAATCTGAAGCTGAGGGTTTCTATCTGTCAGCTCCAGCTGATGCAGAGGAATAACATAGGAAGTGAGGAGACGGAAAGGCCTGGGGCTGAGCCTTGAGGCTCTCATGTTTAGAGCTGAATACAGAGCTATCAGAGAGACAGAGAACCCAGTACCAAGGGCCACGCGAGCCCCGGCGCGGCAGCGTTTCGGGACCTGACGGCGGGCAGTGCCGGATGCTGCTGTGGAGGAGGTCAGATGAGGAGGCGGAGGCCACCCGGAGCACAGCAGCAGGAGGCGGTGCGGGCACCGAGGCGGCCGGCAGCCCTGCCTCGGTGCAGGGGAGACGGGCAGGGAGCCGCAGAGGAGTCCCAGGCTCAGCGGTGTGGGTTTGCGTTTGACAGAAGACAATGAACGGTGCTCACAAGCCAACAGAAAGGCTGTAGGTGCGGGGACCACCGAAGGGCCCTGGGGAGGGTGACGGTGGGGGACCAGCCGAGGAGGAGAGGGAGGCGGGGAGCAGACGCCCGGGGCTCCCTCCCTCCACAAGGCGGATGGGGGCCCCGGCTGTGCAGAGCAGAGGTCTGACGGCCGGTCAGAGCGCCCGAGAGCAGAGCAGAGGAAGGAGGCCGCGTGGAGGGCCCCCGAAGTGGGGACCTGCAGTCCGCGGGGGCTCCGCGGGGAACTGTTTCTGCATTCTGAAGGAGTATATTGTCAGGTTACTTCATGTCCAACCAACTCTCTGCCAGACTCTTTGCACAGAATGCTGGATTTTTGCTTTGAGAAATGAAAACTGAACAAGAAAGCAGACAAGTAAATCCACTTTTAATAGATGAGTCTAAGACTAGCATGACTGCACTAAAGTTTCAAATAAATTTTACTAATCAAACTTAATCTCCTAAATATGTGACTAAGCTCTATTCTTTAAACTGAACTCTTGTTTCTGTCAAAGTAATTTCAGGAAATTTCAACCAAACTGATTGCTTAACATTATATCTACATAATAAGCAAAATAAAAAATAAAATGCCTAAGTACAAATCTTACATGATACACAAAACTGAAGTTCTCTTTCCTGTGAATATAGGCTAAGTCTAATATAAAGACATCTCAATATCAGAAAATGCAAAACATAAAGTATAAAGTCACATTTTTGGATGGCAAAGAACAGTCAACATCGGAACATGAGAGCTTCTTTCCTACCATATTCACGACACTTCTTTTTTCTAGTAGTATTCGAAATAAATTAGCTGTAATCTTGTTATCATGGACACCTTGCTCAAGGCCACGATTATCATCTTGCATGAGTCTCCTATCCATGATAACTTCAATCTGACCTAGGGAACAAGGAAACAAACAGGCCAGGGTTATTCACTGAGAATCTCACAAATATAAAGCAAAGTCTAGATTTACATTTCCCCTCCAGTTAGGGAAGCCATGAGGTTCCTTTCGATAACAGCTCAGGGCATTTAGTACAAATTCACAAAACAGGACTGTATTTCTCCTTTTCTTCATCAGCATTTTGTAAAATCTAATAAGAAATTTAAATGGGATAGAAGAGATCAAAATGAAAGTAAAACTTAAAAATACTGATCGAAAGAGTAAAGTCTTCCAAAATTTTTAGTGACAGCATTTGGAATTTAAAAATGTTTATGAGGTTCATTAAGAAATATATATATATATCACACATGGCGTCATAAGAAAAATACGGAAGGACAAATCTGAAAAGGATCTGAAGTAATATTTTAGGTTGCTTGCTGTGTGGAGACTCTCTGAAGCCCAAGGATCCGGGGATGCCCACTGTGCAGCCCCTCCCCTCTGGTACTGTATTAGTGATTTCCCAGAAGTCTTTTCTCCTTTAGCTCAAAAAGCTGTTATATTTCGTTTCTCTATTTGCTATGCAGAAATTCTACAACTCCTCTAGTTTAAGCTACCACCCTAATAGTTAGGTTATGAAATTACAAACTAAAAGAAAATCACCAGAGACATATTTATACGTCTAAGATTATACCAGAAAACCCCATTAAAGTTATACTACTTAAATGCACTGGAGAAGGAAATGGCAACCCTCTCCAGTGTCCCTGCCTGGAGAACTCAGTGAGCAGGAGCCTGGCGGGCTGCAGCCCGTGGGGTCACAGAGTCGGACACGACTGAGTAACACACACAGACGTAAGTGTACACATTCACCTGTCCATCCACTAATATTTGCTACTGCATTGAGCAATCACTTGGAGTAAAAGGAAATTTTATAAAATGTTTTAGTAACTATTATGCTCATATAGTTAAACCAACTCTGGTTTCTTTCAGTTTAGGTAACCAGGACATAAAGTTATCATTGAGGGTTAGAATTTTCGGTGTTACTTTCTCCGTATTTTATAAGATAGCTGTCTAGCACGGACTCCTCAGGCCCTGGGGCTAACTGTCCCCGCGCTTGTCCAGAGTTCCATCGCTTCACATCCAAAGTCGTCTATCAGCCTCCCGGTCCTTTCTAAGTCTTCTCCCTGACTTCAAACACTGGCCCACACACCGTGTGACACATAGTGGTCTCGCCTATACTCAAACTGCTTTTATGTCTGTAGTTATGCAAACTCCAGGGTATCTGGGTATCTACAGCAGGGTCTTTTCAGAGAAGTGAGACAACACTGTTAGATTTATGATTGCTTGAATCCTAAGGTCTAGTCCCCTATTTAGAGCCCAAATTGGAGAACTTAAGGCAGGGTTTAAAAATGGGTAGCTCAGGAATCGTATCTGACACCAACAGGTTTTACATTCTGATTATTAAAAAATTATGTCAACATTTACAGAATGGGCTACTTCTTGTAAAATTCCAGATGGGCCTTTTGTGAAAAACTGAAGAATGTGACAACACTGGGCCAGTTCCCCACGGCAACAAGGTCTGTGCACTGGGCGGTGTGCTCTGCAAATTCACTCACATCTCAGCAGTCCCTACTGGGTCCCCGAGGTGAGGCCATTTTTATTTTTATAACTGCATTCATGTCTTCATGACATGATCTCAGGATTTTGTGTAATGAAGGCCACAAAGAAAAATGATAAACGGTAAAGTGTTCTTTGTATGGAAGTACAGAATGCATGCATGTGCCAAACATGAAATGAATATGCCAGGCAACTACACTCATTTATTACCTGCCCAGCTCTTTAACACACTTGTCTTAGCAACTCTTAGTATGTAAGCAAAGAGGAGCAATGACGTGTAAATAATTAAAAACAGGCATTATGAAGGACACATCTCCCAACAGAAAGTCCCACAAAAACCATCAGTATCTACTGTCTCTTTTCTCCTTCTCCCCATTTCCGTCTGCTGGGAATCTGTAGAGTTGTATCTGTCATCTCTTTGTGGCCATATCTGTATCATCTCTACTCCCCTTCTTTTTCCAGGTGGCAGCATTCTAGGAGGATGCGATTCAGAAAAGGACCTAGGTTTGAACTGTAACTTTCCCCTTTTGCAACCTTGGTTAATTTAGTAATATCTAAACTTCAAATTATCTAAATTTAGTTTAGTTGGAGTCTGAATTTCCATATCCATTCAGTCACAACAATGACAGAATTTTGCAAACAATGGGCTATCGGGAAAAGTAAATTATCTTTAAAAATCATCAGTTTTGTGAACTTTTGGGTCTGTTTTCATCTGAAGATTGAGGAAATTTATTATTTTATGTCAGTCTCACAAAGCTCAAAATTAACTAACAGTCTGGTTCTCAAAAGAAAAAAGCTTGTGACTGAGGAAGATAACTAACACATGACTAACAGAAAGATGATACACTGGGAAGTGAGACTAGTAAGAGCCAAAGAGAGTCTACAGAATACACACCACTTTTCAAACTTGAAACACCTAAAGACTGAGCAGAGAGCAGACTCAAGCGATGCTCGGCATCCTGGATATATGCCATCGTAGTCATGGGGTAGACGTTTGCCTGAAGAGGCAATTTACTCATTGTCAGTCTAGGTTGAATCTGCAAGACCAAACAATTATTGTTAAGAAAAAAAGAAAATCCACTGATATTTACACATGTACTTAAAAACATTACTGTTGACTACAAATGGCTTATTTCCAAACAGAAAAAGGTACAGCACCTTTCTTGTCCAAGAGAACAGTTAACTTAGAAATTAAAACATTCTTCAATATGAAGAAAAATCATGAGCATCTTAGAAAATTTTTCAGTGAAAATGGTAAAACTTACCTATGTTTTTTAAAATAGGCATTACTATTTAAATTTAGAATAAAAATCCTTTACAAAAGTTTTCTAGCTCTCCATATTTGCATAAAACAAGTTATAAAGGTATTAAGTATTCACTTCTCATTTAAATCTAACATACTGCTTTTGTAATGAATGCAAAGCATAATAGCTCCCTATCCCCTTTCAAGAAATACCTCTCATAATTCTTGAATCAGTTTTAATAAATACCACACATCTCAGCACCTTATCCTCTAACATACTATGTTATAATAATCAAATGCATTTTTATATTTAAAAACTATTCCAGCTTACTCTTCCTGTTTAGTTTCAATGTAGCAGCTCCAAATTCCAATTTTTCTTGCTCTAGTACCTGAATGCACGGAATACAACTCCACCTTTAGTTTTTGAGACACTGATAATGGACTAAGCTGGTTGGGTCAAGGAAACTCACTCAAACCTCAGGAAGAGATGTCAAACAGAGGCTTATCAGAAACCCCACTCACACTACATAAAAATGTCCTGTCTTCTTTTAAACTCATGAAACTTTAACTCAGAATAGGAGAAGTACAATGTAAGCATGACAGTTAACATGTACTGAGTGTCCATTAACACCAGGCACAGTACTGGGTATTTCACAAATAAGATCTTTAATCCTCACACCAACCCTGCAGTAGGTCATTCAATTTACTGGTTCTCAATAGTGTCCCCTCAAATTCATGTTCACTCAGAACCTGTGAATGTGATTTTATTTTGAAATGTGGCCTCTGCAGATACAACCAAGTTACACGGGATTGGGGTGGGTGATAGTCTGAAGAATGGTGTCCTTACAAGAGACGGGGCATTTGGACATACAGACATGCAGAGACACACGGAGGTCATGTGACAGTGGAGGCAGGCGCTGCAGCGACGTGTTCACAGCACACGGGGCGCCGAGGACCGCCAGCAGCCGCCAGCAGCCAGAAGAGGCAAGGTCACCCTTTCCGAGAGCAGACCGAGGCGGGGGGACCCTGGCTACCCCTCCATTTTGGCTCCTAAAGTCCAAAACTGTGAGGGAATAAATTTTTGTTGTTTTAAGTCACCCAGTTTGTGGCAGTTTATATCACAGCCCTAGGAAATTAACAACCTGGTAGGGGTAAAAAAAAAAAGAAAAAAAACCTGTAAATGTTTTTTAAAAAGGAAGGAAAGAAAGCTAGCTAGCAGGAAATCGCCAAGCCTGATCTTTCTACTCCAATTAAGTTTACACTTTAAAAACTGACATCTAAAACCATCACAACTGTGTCGCTGTTACCGTCCCCATCTGTGGGCCTAGATTTCTAGTTTGGCCCAAGTAACTATTCTTTTCAAAGCATGAGAGATGGCCTGTTCTAAGAAAGAAGAAACATTTAGCTTACAGTCTTAAAAACAATATTTTCCTATTTATTAATGTGCTCCATCTTTATAAAGAAAACTCACATTTTCATTTTTACTAAGTTTTTTCATTCATGTATACACCCACATATAAAATGATTGCTTCTATAGGACTTGAAGAAAAGTCTTTCTTTTGTACACAAGAAAAATGAATCACCATAAAGCCAGGGCTTCATCTGAAAGCCAAACAGCTGTAGCAGAATTAACATGTTAATTTAAAATGGATGCTGCAATTTTTATGCTTTGGAAAGGTTTAAATTTAACTTTTGCAGGAGACTGTAGAAGAGAAAATTATCACAATCCTTTCCACTCATCCCAGTTGAAAATCAGAGTAACAGCATTTGTGAAATTATTTCTATTCATAGTCAAAAATTTCTAAAATGCTAATGTCTCAGAGACATGCTCATGTTTTTAATAGTATTATTTCAAATATATATTGTTAAACACATATACTCTGAATATAGATTTAGGTAGCAATCAAAAGAGCTCTAGTAAATTAGAGAAATGAAAATCTGAAAAAAAATTTATGAATCAATTTTCCCATTACTATTTCTAACTATTTCACAAAAACTTTGATTAAATACAGCTATTCACATTTCTAAACAGATAGATGTTTTTATTTGTATGTCTGTGTCTATGTACACATATACGTATGTGTATAAACACACACACACACATACATCAGCAGAGAAGGATTTCCTGGAATTAAAAAGAGCCCACAGTTAAATCATACATTTAAAAACATACGTGGAACAAACTAAATACACATAGACCAATTCCTTATGAGGAAATAAAAGATATACTCTATCAATCCCTAATTAATACTAATATTTCCTTCTACTAGATAAATTCATATATATTTTAGCATCAAGGTGTTTAACATGCATAGTGGTCTCCAAATCTTCCTTTGAAAAAACAAATCCTTAGAAATAGATGTTTTACAAAATAGTCTTGCAAATATTTGTTCTGTGCTTGAAAACCTGGTTAGATACAGAAACTAAAAGTGTCTGTTAAAATTCAGTTTTATTTTAGAAATGATTTGCAACCTTAAGTAAGTATATTTTTTCAAATGATCCAAAATTAACTTGCCTACTATGATATATAAAAGGTACATACTATAACCATCATTTAAACATTTTAATGGAAAATTACCTGGTATCCATTTAGGTCAGTATAAAATCTGTTTTGGCTGTTGATGCTAGAAGAAATTCTCATTGCAATCTCATAGTTATGTTCTTTTCGGATGTCTACAATATTGGAAATCTCCACAGACTGTCCTTCTACTCCTAAAATAAAAACAATATTTACACTAAGGTGTTGGGAAAGAATGAGGGCAGGGTACCAGAGGATGAGACAGTTGGATAACATCACCAACTCAACGAACATGAGTTTGAGCAAACTCCAAGAGACAGTGAAGGACGGGGAATTCTGGCGCGTTGCAGTCCATGTGGTCACAAAGAGTCAGACATGTCTTAGCGACTAAACAATACATTAATAAAAAATAATTGCCCCCCTTTTCTTAAATATACTATACAGAACTCCTTCCAAAGCCACATGCATTTCCCTGTTTCCAGCTGTCTATCTTTACCATCCGTCATACATTGAGCGGTGTCACAATTCATCTTTTTTAAAGACAGACCATAGAAAACATTTATTCAGATCATGTATGACTCAACAGTAGGATTAAGAAGCTGGAATGAGATAAATGTACATGGAATAAAACAGGCAAATGACCCTGCAGGAAGTCACAGAGGGGAGAGATGACGCTGAAGGGCAGGAGGTCAGCCCGCTGCGGCTCATCCACCACTCAGCGGGGCTGCCATCCCCAGCAGAGCCATTCAGGGCTACTTCTTCACACGCTGGAAATTACGAGCAGTGAAATTTACACTCTGTTGGTTCAAAAGACAGTATATTACTGTCCATGATCTCTCTCCAGGAAAAGAGAGGAGATCCAGCGAGATGATTTACAGCTGAAACCGATATTACCGTATTAGTATTTGTGGAGTATAATCTGGAGAGCTCCCCAGAACTTCAGTCAATTTTAACTGAGTCTGATATCTCTTAGGATCCCTTGTTATGGAGCGATTCATTTTGCCCTTTGCTATATAAAGCAGAGAGAGGAGAGCTTCAGAAAGTCCCAGATGTATTGGACATTTTTATTTTTATTTTGGATAAGCCTAAAGTATTTACTAATTTCTATCTGTCATGCTACCCTAAGTATATCTTCAGGTCTGTGGTGAACCATTGGGTCTATTTTAGAGCTGGAGAGGAGTTATAAATAAATGGAACACTTAATACAGTGAAGTGGGTAGAAAAGATGTCGCAGGATCTTTCGAGAAAGAGAGCACCTAGGAAAGTGGTCAAAGGAGAAAGACTGGCCACATGCTATCCCGTACAGCTGAAGCTTTCTGAGGCTCCTGCAGCCCGGGACATTTTCCCACGCTGTGACTCATGACTCAGCTCACACACAACCTGTCACCTCGCTGACAAACAGCACCTCTTTAGACACAGAGGGCTGTCTACAGAAACACAGGGAGGGGAGAAATAAAGTGAGGAAGACTTTCTTCCAGGAGCTAAGAAGAATCTCCAGAGCTTGCAGAAGGTGACAGCAAGCAGAAAGGGAGTTTGAATGCGCAGGTTTGTGGGGAAAACATAAACGCAGCTGGCATAAGCATTACAGCTTTATGTGAGAGGTACACCGGGAACTGTACACCATAAACAGTAACATGGTAACAATACTGAATAGGCTGCAGCTCCCGTCAACACAATGTTCAGAATGCTCACAGGGAGTCTCTTCTGGTAGATGTCGCCCTTCTGACTGAACAACCTCGCAGAGCCAGCTTCAGTTTCTTACTGCGATGGGTATGATCTTCACGGGTGGAGAAGGAAATGCCACTTCCCCCTGCTTTATAGGCTGCCCAAGCGGCACTAGTGGTAAAGAGCCCACCTGCCAACGGAGGAGACATAAGGGATCCGGGTTCGATCCCTGGGTCGGGAAGATCCCCTGGAGGAGGACATGGCCACCCACTCCAGTGTTCTTGCCTGGAGAATCCCGTGCACAGGAGCCTGGCGGGCTGTGGTTCTTGGGGTTGCAGAGAGACAGATGTGACTGAAGTGACTTAGCACACACACACAGCCACAGTCTGAACCACTAACCTCTACTAGTTAAATACATACATATACCTACATACATTTTCTTCTGAGGATTACCAGATAAACCTACCAACACAGCTGATGGAAGCCCCACCACCACCAGGAAGTTTGGGGTGGGGGGCAAGCAAAGACATACACTGGTAATAGAACAACAGTAACCTCCTTGAACTAGGAAATGCATTACTTTTAAAGTAAACTTTCCCTCCAGCATACTTTAAGTAACCCAGATTTTTTTTCTACAATCAAATGAATTATATAAAAAATTTAATAGACAAGTATTCACAAATGAACCAAAGAAGCCCCAAACCCAAAATGTAGCACTAGGGACGCTAGTGTTAACGGGGCATTAGGAAAAACAGCAGACAGCAAGTGACTCTACGTTACTGGAAGCATTTGTAGGGTTTTCAGCACTGCTTTATGTTTTTCCTCTCTAGACAGAACATTATCTCGGGGCCAACAACATACATAAAATGAAGCAGTCTTCATAAAGGAGGGGGTCATGCATCTCTGGAAAACACTGACAAAAGAAAAATGCTCTGAGAAAAAAATGAACAATTTCGCATTATCTCTAGCAATGATAAATTATTTCTATTGAGACAATTATCTTTCTCAAGCTCAGCACTATTATGTTCAGATACTATTGGGGCAACAAATGCTTAAAGGTCCTTTAAAAGGAGCCTCTATGTCCATTTGCACTTCAATAAGACATTAATTTAAATTCTGTGCCAGGACAGAGTTTTAAAATAAGGTCAGACTTAATATACTTATTACCAACAGACCAAATGAAACCTGTGATGGTAATAAAAGCAAGAAGGTATCTCTGAGTTCTCAAAGAAAAATTATTATTTTTCAAAGAAGAAAATGTTTGAAGGAGAAAGAGGACTAAAATGATTGGGAATGGGTGAATTTAATTCAGATGACCATTATATCTACTACTGTGGGCAAGAATCCCTTAGAAGAAATGGAGTGGCCCTCATACTCAACAAAAGACTTCAAAATGCAATACTTCAGTGCAATCTCAGAAACGACACAATCATCCCAGTTCGTTTTCAAGGAAGACCATTCAACATCACAGTAATCCAGGTCTATGACCCAACCATTAATGTTGAAGAAGCAGAAGTTAAATGGTTCTATGAAAACCAGTAAGACCTTTATAACTAGCACCAAAAAAAGATGTCCTTTTCATTACAGGGGACTGGAATGCAGAAGTAGGAAGTCAGAGAAATCTGGAGTAATAGGCAAATTTGGCCTTGGAGTACAAAATGAAGCAGGGCAAAGGCTAATAGAGTTTAGGCAAGAGAACGCTCTGGTCATAGCAAACATCCTCTTCCAACAAAATACTAGAGACAACTCTACACATGGACATCACGAGATAGTTAATACTAAAATCAGATTGATTATATTCTTTGCAGCCAAAAAGGGAGCTCTATACAGTCAGCAAAACAAGACCAGGAACTGACTGTGGCTCAGATCATCAGTTCCTTATTGGAAAATTCAGACTTCACTTGAAGAAAGTAGGGAACACCACTAGACCATTCAGGTATGACCTAAATCAAATCCCTTATGATTATACAATGGAAGCAACAAATAGATTCAAGGGATTAGATCTTACAGAGCATGCCTGAGGAACTATGGATGAAGCTTTTAACACTGTACAGGAGGTGGTGACCAGAGCCACTCCCAGGAAACAGAAACGCAACGAGGCAAAACAGTTGTCTGAGGAGGCTTTACAGACAGCTGAGAAAAGAGAACTGAAAGGCAAAGGAGAAAAGGAAAGATACACCCATCCGAATGCAGAGCTCCAGAGAACAGCAAGGAGAGATAAAGCCTTCCTCAGTGAACAGTGCAAAGAAACAGAGGAAAACAATAGAACAGGAAAGACTAGAGATCTCCTCAAGAAAATCAGAGATACCAAAGGAACATTTCATGCAAGAAGGACACAATAAAGGACAGAAATAAGGACCTAGCAGAAGTGAAGAGATTAAGAAGAGGTGGCAAAAATACACGGAAGAACTGTACAAAACAAGGCCTTGATGACCCAGATAATCACAATGGTGTGATCACTCACCCAGAGCCAGACATCCTGGAGTGTGAAGTCAAGTGGGCCTTAGGAAGAATTACTACAACAAAGCTAGGGAAAGTGATGGAATTCCAGCTGAGTTATTTCAAATCCTGAAAGATGATGCTGTTAAAGTGCTGCACTCAATATGCAAGCAAATTTGGAAAACTCAGCAGGGGCCACAGGACTGGAAAAGGCCAGTTTTCATTCCAATCCCAAAGAAAGGCAATGCCAAAGAATGCTCAAACTACTGCATAATTGCACTTATTTCATGTGCTGGCAAGGTAATGTTAAAAATCCTTCAAGCTAGGCTTCAACAGTATGTGAACTGAGAACTTCCAGATGTTCAAGCTGGATTTAGAAAAGGCAGAGGATCCAGAGATCAAATTGCCAATATCCACTGGTTCATAGAAAAAGCAAGAGAATTCCAGACAAACATCTGCTTCTGCTTTATTGACTATACTAAAGACTTTGGCTGGCTGGACAAAACACATTGTGCAAAATTCTTAAAGAGATAGGAATAACAGACCATCTGACCTGCCTCCTGAGAAATCTGTATGCAGGCCAAGAAGCAACAGTTAGAATCAAACATGGAACAATGGACTGGTTCAAAACTGGGAAAGGACTAGGTTAAGGCTGTATGTTTTCACCCTGCTTATTTAACTTATATGCTGAGTATATTATGCAAAATGTCAGGCTGGATGAATCACAGGTAGAACGAAGATTTCTGGGAGAAATATTAATAATCTCAGATATCATAGATGACACCACCCTAATGGCAGAAAGCAAAGAGCAACTGAAGAGCTTCTTGGTCAAAGTGAAAGTGAAGTCTCTCAGCTGTGTCCGACTCTTTCCAACTAAATGGACTGTAGCCTACCAGGCTTCTCCATTCAGGAGATTTTATAGGCAAGAGTACTGGAGTGGGTTGCCATTTCCTTCTCCAGGGGATCTTCCCGACCCAGGGATCGAACCCAGGTCTCCTGCATTGCAGGCAGACGCTTTACCCTCTGAGCCACCAGGGAAGCCCAGAAGCCCACCAGGGAAGCCCAGGGAAAGTGAAAGAGGAGAGTGAAA